CATGGTTACCATCCAGACCTTATTTCTTTTCCCTTCAGGAGACTGTGGAGTAAAAGCCAGAGTCTAAGAGGAGGCAGCAGGGATTCTGGTGCTCACCTTTGGAAGAGCTCTTTGCAGCACACGTAGGTCTCATAGCTGCTGTTGGTGAAACTTGTGCTCAGAAAGGAGACACAGTCAGCTTCCATACCCCTGGGGACATGGAGGATTCCTGAAAAAGGAGACAGAGCTACTAAGGAAAAGTTTCTACATGGTCTTTTAGATTCTATTTTTTCTTTGAGTGTTAATGAAATACATTATAGATTAGGTGGCTCATCTATGCACCTGAGGAATGGATGATTCAATCAATGTTCTGGGGAAGATCCTGTTATAATCTAGGTGAGTAATTTCTGCAACCACCTCTGGTCTGTCCACTTGTCATACTGTGGTGGCTTGTGTGTTGCTGTGATTCTGGAAGCTATGCCACGAGTATTTTAAATACTACCAGGGCCACCCATGGTGGACAGGTTTCAGATGAACTTCCAGACTAAAACAGACTAGGAAGGAGAGATGGACTACTTCCAAATATTTAGTCACTGAAAACCTTATGAAGAGCAGAACACTGTCAGACAGCACCAGAATATTAAATATTGAAACATGATGAAGAACACCAGAATATTATCAGATATAGTGCCAGATGATGAACCCCTCAGGTTGGAAGGCACTCAAAATACAACAGAAGAGCTGCCTCCTCAAAGTAGAGTTGACCATGATGATGCAAATGGTTGAAAAACTCCATATCATCAGCCAAAACAAGGCCAGGGGCAGACTGTGGAACAGACTGTGAATTGCTCATATGCAAGTTCAGGCTGAAGTAAACTAAAATAAGTCCATGGGAGCCAAAATATGACCTTGAATATATCCTGCCTGAATTTAGAAATCATCTGAAGATCAGATTTAATGCATTTGACATTAAAGATGGAAGACTAGAAAAGCATGAGATGAAATCAAGAACATCATACAGGAAGAAAGCAAAAGGTCATTAAGAAATAAGAAAGAAGGAAAAGACCAAAATGGATGTCAGAAGAGATTCTGAAATTTGCTATCCAACATAGAGATGCTAAAGAAAATGGAAGAAAAGAGGAGGTAAAAAAAGCTAAATCAAAAATTTTGAAGAGCAGCTTGAGAAGACAAAGTCAAATATTATAGCAAAACGTGCAAAGACCTGGAATTAGAAAGCCATAAGGGAAGGGCATGCTCAGCATTTCTCAAGATGAATGAACTGAAGAAAAAGTCAAGCCTCGACTTATGGTATTGAAGGATTCTATGGGCAAAATGTTGAATGATGCAAAAACCATCAAGAAAAGATGGAAGGAATACAGAGTCACTGTACCCTCCCCCCACCCCCCAAAAAAGGTTGATGTCAAGCATTTCAAGAGGTAGCATATGACCAAGAGCCGATGATATTGAAGGAAGAAGTCCAAGTTGCGTTGAAGGCTTGGCAAAAAACAAAGCTCCCAGAATTGATGGTATATAAATTGAAACCTTTCAACAAACTGAAGAAGCACTGGAGGCACTCACTCACCTGCCAAGAAATTCGAAAGACAGCTCCCTGGCCAATTGACTAGAAGAGGTCCATCTTTGTGCCCCTTCCAAAGACAGGTGACCCAACAAAATGCCTAAGTCATTGGATAATGCCACTATTATTTCATACAAGTAAAATTTTGCAAAAGATAATCCCAAAATGGCTGCAAACATACACTGACAGAGAACTGCCAGAGGTTCAAGCAGGATTCTCACAAGGTTGTAGAACAAGGGATATTATTGCTGATATCAGATGGATATTGTCTGAAAGCAGAGAATACCAGAAAGATGTCTATCTGTGCTATATTGACTATGAAGAGGCTTTTGATTGTGTAGATCATGACAAGCTATGGACAACATTGTGGAGCATAAGTATTCTGGAACACCTACTTGTGCTCATGAAGAACCTGTACATAGACCAAGAGGCAGTTGTTTGAAAAGAACAAGGGAACACTGAATGGTTTAATATTAGGAAAGGTGTGAGCCAGGGTAGTATTCTTTCACCATACTTATTCAATCTGTATGCTGAGCACATAATCTGAGAAGATGTATTATAAAAAGAAGTATGTGGTATCAAGATTGGAGGAAGACTCATCAACAACCTGTGATATGCTGATGATATAACCTTGCTTGCTGCAAGTGAAGAGGACTTTAAAAATTTACTGATGAAGATCAAAGAGCACAGCCTTCAGTACGGGTTGCCCCTCAATGTAAAGGAGACAAAAATCCTTACCACTGGACCAATAAAAAAATCCATGTAAATGGATAAAAGATTGAAATTGTCAAAGACTTCATTTTGCTCAGATCAACACTCATGGAAGCAGCAGTCAAAAAATTAAATGATGTTTTGCATTAGGTAAATCTGCTGTATGAGACTTCTTTAAAGTGTTCAAAACAAAGATGCCAGTTTGAGGACAAACGTGAGCCTGACCTAAGCCATGGCATTTTCAATAACCTCATATGCATGTGAAAGTTGGACAGTGAATACGGAAGATCATACAAGAATTGATGCATTCAAGTTATGGTGCTGGAGGAGAAAATTGAAAGTACTATGGACTGCCAAAAGAACAAACTAATGTGTGTTGGGAGAAGTACAACCAGAATGCTCCCTAGAAACTCCATCTCTCATACTTTGGACATATTATCAGGAAGGACCAGTCCCTGGAGAAGGATATCATATTTGGTAAAGTGGAGGTTTGGAGAAAAAGAGGAAGACCCCAATGAGATGGATTGGCAGAGTGGCAGCAGCAATGGGCTCAAACGTAGCAATAATTGTAAGGTGGGCACAGGATCAGGCAGTGTTTTGTTCTGTTGTGCATAGGGTCACTATGAGTTGGTACCAACTCAGTGGCACCTAACAACAACAACAACAACAACAACAACAATTTCTGCAAAGACCAAGCTGAGGTACTTACCTGCCATACAGGCACTGATAAGAGATACAGTGGCTCCTGTGAGGAGGGCTCTGACTACAATCTTGGATAAGTCACTTTTCCGGTGGGGTACCATTGATGCTGCAGACAACAACAACAACAAAAATAACTTGATTTCTTCTTCACCAGACAATCAGGTATTTCCCATAGTCCCCATTTGAAAGAATGCAGAGAAACAAAATATAGCAGATGAATAGCATCCTTACCACCAACTCTCAGAGGCTTGCCATTGGTACTGTAAGGAACGTATATATACATTAGTCCTGAGGAATCACTGACACACACTTTTCCCAGGTCAAGGATTGTGTGTCTGAACCAAGTCAGTAAAGTAACTTTGGTGGTTCTATGAATATTCATAAGTTGTATCTGCATAAGCAAACCTCTGGATTGGTCTTTTGTTATTATTATGTGCTGTGGAGTCAGTTCTGACTCATAGAGACCCTGTACAGGGTTTCTGAAGCTGTGAATCTTTATGGGAGCAGAAAGCCTCATCTTTCTCCCATGGAACAGCTGGTAGTTTCAAACTGCTGACCGTGAGATTAGCAGCCCAATTCATAACCACTATGCTACCAGAGCGACCAGAATTAGTTGGTCTATTTTGCAACAGAAGAATAAGGAGGGCAGCATTCACACAATGCATATCCCACTCTTAGATGAAATCTCTCATAATCAGACAATAATTGAGCAATAGTATTAGAATGATACAGGCAAATATTTAGCGGAAGGGAAAGAGATAAATTGAAAGGAAATGATTTCACCTTTAAATTATTCAATCAACTACCAAATATGGTAATATGACTGCAAGCAGAAATGGACCACCGAGATGCATTGCTTCTTATACTTCATTCCTTCCAAGATTCAGTTCTAACTTGGATCTGTCAAACTCTTAGAATCTGCTAGTCATTTCCCCCTGTCCCTGCCTTTAAGGACAGTGCCACCATCCTTATACTATTTTCTCCAACCATCACCCATATTCAGCAATATCCTCGTAATCTAAATTTATCCGTGTCTGCTTAAAATATTCAGTCCTCCCACACCTGGTGGTTTGCAGCTTTTAATCCAATACTTTCCACAACTTGCTCTCCTACTTTCTATCTGCCATATGTGTCTGCTCTTTTTGTCCTTTGTTTCCTTGTATAGCTTCTATTTCTGTAAAGACAACTAGTATACGACTAAATTTCATTCAGTACCTCATTACTAAATAAAAAACACACAAAGTATATTTACTTACAATTTAATAGCAAGATAGAGGTAATATCATTATAAAACTTTTCCCCATACTAAAACAAGCCAAAAAACCCCACTCACTCATAGGGACCCTATAGGGCAGATTAGAACTGCTCCTAAGATTTCTGAGCCTGAACAGATAGCCTCTTCATCTTTCTCCCACGGTGGACTGGTGAGTTTGAACTGTTGACCTTGTGGTTAACAGTCCAACTCTTTACCCACTATGCTACCAAGGCTCCTTTTCTCCCTTATAGGGAAAAGAAAAATACAATTGGTCACCTGGACCTCCAATCTACAGGAAAAAAATAGCTGTAGTTGAAATTATAAGCCTAGGTGTGGGTTCACACATAGCAAGGTAGCAGGATTGTTTTGGCTCCTAATAAACTGCAGTCTGAGAGCATCCATTTCACATCCGTTTCTCTATTTGGTCTCAACTTATACTGAAATAGCAGGACTGTCCACTGGGATCTGGTGGACTTCCTGGGGATGTGGGCAAATGGATTAACTCACTCAAGCCTCCCAGTGTGATTCCCATGGAGCTAAGATTGGAAAATCCACAGAGGGAAAATGTTGTAATGATTTCAGCTCTCTCCTAGGAAAAACAAAAATAAAGAAATAAATTTAGTCCCATGTGTGTGCATACATGATAGAAAATTTAGAGTACATAGAACCCTCAATCTTTTTCATACTAAGGAATGTGGAAGGGATGCTTATATAATAGCTGCTACATGGCACCATAGGATAAGCACTCGACCTCGAGGTCAGTTTGAATTGCAAGGACGGTGGTTCAAATTCATCAGCCGTTCCTTGGAAATCATATCCAGGGTCACTATGAGTTTGGAACTAATTTGATGGCCTGTAACAGTAACAACAAGCTGAATTATTACAGGGATAATGATATGGAAATACCATGGGCATCTTTGCCAAATGCTGTTATTGCTAAGGCGTAAGAATAAGGGAAAAGTCTAGGAATGAGGATGATTGAGAAGAAGGAGCTAGAGAGACAGACGGGGAGAGAGAGATCATTGTAGGAGCAAATTAAACTTATAAGTGAAGAAAAATCAGCAAACAATTTGCTGCTGAGTTGATCCTAACTCATGTCGACCCAATGTGTTACACAGAGTAGAATTGTGCTCCAGAGGGCAGTCAAGTCTATGACCTTCAGAAGCAGACCACCAGGAAGGACTTTCTTCCAAGGAGCTTCTGTGTAGCTTTAAACTGCCAAACTTTTGGTCAATAGTGGAGTGTTTAACTATTTATACTCCTCCCCCCCCGTGACTCCATAAATGAAGAAGGGGACACTAAATCACTGCCCCAGTGGTAAAGACCCAATAGTTACGTTGTAGAGAGATGCTGATTCCGAGGGTGGAGGACAAACAGTGTACAGACCTTAGGGGAGCTCAGACACTGGAGATAGAGGCAGAAGAGCATACTTCTAGGCTTACTTTTGTGTAGCACTTTCTGCCTGCCTGCACATAGCCATGGCTGAGACCTCACATTAGAGATGGGTTTCTACATTGCTACTTACGGAAATCCACTGTTTCTCACCCCCAATCCATTCTTCTACTCCAGAGAGGCGTTTCTGCTTGTATTGAGACAGTTGTTGATAGGCCACAAATTCATTGATGAAGAACTTGATCCCTATCATTTCAGCCACCATTGGACAGTCTGCCCACTCTACACCCATCATGAAGACCATCGGTCTTAGAATATAGGAGCAGATGACCTAAGAAAATGAAAGAGAGACTCCAGGAGTAAAGAACAAATGGGAGTCAAGAAGAATTTTCTTGAGCTTTCACTCAGTCCTCCCTGCCCCTTCCAATTTATGCTTTCACTTTCAATTTATGATTAGTTCAACAAATCAACAGATGAACAAATGGGATCCTTTACCTGGAAGCTGAGTCCCTGGATCTCCACTAATTCCCCTAGCCAGGTGAGGGCAGCATTGATGAAGGCCAACACAGCCAAAAAGGCGACCAGGTTGGCTGCTACATTAGCAGCAAGGCCTATGGCATCGGTGGCTCCATTGCTGGCAGCTTCCAGGATATTATTCTCCTTCCTGTGGTTATTGGGCATGAGGGGAAGGTTATGTTGTTTAGAGTAGTCTCAGACCTCAGAGAACAGAAATCCTATTGTCTCTATAACAGGAGGAGGGTGCAAGGCTAGTTTGAGTGGTGATGGGGCTCCTTAATAATCCTATTAGTGGACATTACTTTGAAGCAAAATCACATATAATTGTCACGGAATTGCAGTAAAATCAAGGACAGAGGGTATGAGCATGCAAAAACTAGTAACAAATGGTAGGGTTAAACATATACACAGAAGAGAATCAATGTGATTGACTAGAGGCAGAGATAGGCAAGAAAGCCTATGCAGTCGTATTATTCCTCCCAGGGAGACTTCAAGCCTCTGTTACCACAGTACCACTGCACCTGACCTCACCATCTCCTAAATTCTATACCTCATTGGACTCACCCACGAGGCAGCTTTATCCCTTCTTTATTCTTGAATTTAGACTCTTCCATTTCTGGATATACCAGCTTTGACAAGGCAAGAGCACAAGGTGCAGCCATCACAGAAGCAGAAATCAAGGATGCCGGGCTGACCTATAGGCCAGACATAGGGGTCAAAGTCTCTGCAGAAACCAGAGCTCTGTCTTACTCACAAGTGGTCAAGTACATTATACCTACTCCAAAGGATATGTAGGCTCCCAACACAGTGCCTGAAATGGTGGCAAATCCTCCAGTCATCACCGCATGGATTTCAGAAAGTGTCATGTCTTCAAGGTATGGACGGATGAGAAGAGGTGCCTCTGTCTATAAAAAAGGAGAAGTCAGTCAGATTGCAAGAAGGTATACCTCCCACCCCAGACTGCCCACCTCATTCCCGAGACTTGGTACATTAGACACTCACTCTTCCAGGTAAGCTGTATTCTAGTAGGAAAATAGGATGGTGCAAGACTGGACAGTGTTTCATTTTGTTGAGCACAGGGTCACTATGAGTCAGAACTGACTCAATGACACTAACAACAACAACAGTGAAAACTAAGTATTCTAATACACTTCATTGTGCTCATGAGGAACCTTTCCATAGACCAAGAGGCAGTTGTTAGAACACAATGAGGGGATAATGAATGATTTAAAATCAGGAAAGGTGTGCACCATGATTATATTCTTTCACTGTACTTAGCTAATCTGTATGCTGAGCAAATAATCTGAGAGGCTGGGTTATACAAAGAACACAGCATCAAGATTGGAGGAGGACTCATTAACAACCTGTGATATGTAGATGACACAACCTTGCTTGCTGAAAGTGAAGAGGACTTAAAATATTTACTGATGAAGATCAAACACAACAGACTTCCGTATGGATTGTACCTCAATGTAAATAAAACAAAAATTCTCATAACTGGGTCAATAAATAATGTCATGATAAGGGGAGAAAAGATTGAAGTTATTAAACACTTCATTTTGTTTGGGTCCACAATCAATGCTCATGGAAGCAACAGTCAAGAACTCAAATGATGTATTGTGTTAGGCAAATCTGCTGCAAAAGACTTCTTTTCAAGAGCAAAGATGTCAATTTAAGGACTAAGTTATGTCTGACACCCAAGCCATGGTATTTTCAATAGCCTTCTAGGAACATTGGACAATGAATGAAAAAGACTAGACCATAGAAGAATGGATGCATTTGAATTATTGTGTTGGTGAAGAATATTGAAAGTACCATGGACTTCCAGAAGAACAACAAAAAAATCTGTGCTGGAAGAAGTACAGCCAGAATGCTTTTTAGAAGCAAAGACGGTGGCATGTTGTTTGTACTTTGGGCATGTTGTTAGGAGGGACATCATGCTTGGAAAAGTGGAGGGTCAGCAAAAAAGAGGAAGGTCTATTTCCCTAATAAGATGGATTGACACAGTGGCAGTAACAGTGAACTTATAACAGCTGGACATGGACATGGGCTCTGTTGTGCATGGGTCACTATGAGTTGGAACTGACTTGATGGCATTAACTAACAACAACAGTGAGTGTGAGCTCTGCTCTCAGGCTTTCTCAGCTTCTGCCTCACTCTCTCTGGCACCTGGTCATATTCTGCCTGGCATTGTCCTCACCTGTTTTCATATATGTTTGTCTTATCCATTTAAAATTTTAAATATCATAGAAGAGCTCCCTATTCATCTGGAGCAAAAGAGAAAGAAGGAAATCCCAAGATTCAGAGAAGGAGCTGGTCTGTCAGATTAATTATCTACATGAGCCATGACCTCCTCTACTCGAAAACTAGAGATGGTGCCTGGATACCATTATCATATGTTCTGATCAAGACCACAGTAGATGGATTTTGATAGAAAGGGAGAAAACCACGGAACAGAACTTCAAGTTTTCCAAAAAAATCCAGATTTACTGGACTCATGGAGACTGAAGAAATCCCCAAGATGTTCTTTTAACCTTGAACCAAGTCTTAGGATATTAACATGAATAAGGCAACGTTCCTACTCTTAAAAATTTAGAATCTAGAAGAGGAAGCAGATTATGGTCAATTTCAGCAAAACATGGTAAGGTACTAAGGTGGTAGGGGTTAACACACACAAGAAGCACTTGAGTATACTTCAGAAGCAGGCTCCGGTGCTTGGAAGAGAGAGCGCTCCTTCCTAACTCCTTGTCAATTTGACAAGCTATGGGTTTTAACTCTGAGCTGATTGGGCAATAGCATATATTGAGGAGTCCTAGTGTGGTAATGAGCACTAGACCAAAAGGTTGGTTTGAACCACAAGGTCGGTGGTTCGAACTTACCAGCTTCTCCTCAAAAACCCTATACAGGTTCGCTATGAGTTGGAACTGACTTGACGACATTTAACAACAACACACTAACTCTATACAGAGGGAGTAGAGTGACTTTGTAGGATAAATACTGAGCTACAAACCACAAGGTTAACAGTTTGAGCCTGCCAGTTTCTCTGTGGGTGAAAGATGAGATTTTCTGCTCCCACAAAGGTTTACAGCCTCAGAAACCCTATTCAGGATCTCTTTGTGTTAGAACCGACTCGACAATACTTAAGAACAACAACACCCTATGTAGACAAATGTGCCAAACAAGTCCCATGTGGAAAAATCTCAGTGTTCGCCATGAGCAAGGCAAACTGTTGCCTCTTTAGAGACCCTGGAAAACAAGGGCACAGGAAGTCACCCGGAAAATCCAGATTGTAGATCAAACATGATCCCTAGCCTCTAAAAGTGTAAAACATGGACCAGGACTTTTCCCTAAATTCCTGTGTAGGAAGTTAGATCCATGACTAAAGGTATTCAGTTTAAGAAAGCCTAGATTAATATTATCAGGCATGAATGGTAAAAATAATGAACTCAGTCCCCTTTGATCCTGTGAAGCTTTTTTCTCATCAGCTATCGGCTGATCACACAATCTTCATTCATTTGAGTTTCCAGAAGGAAAGCATGCTTTCCTCCACTTGTTTTCTGCCAGGCTCTCAGTTACACAGAGAAAAGAAATTCAGAAGGCCTCTGGCCACTTACCATGCCCACAAAGATGTTTCCTGCCACAGCTAGGGTCTCAGTGGCAGTGGTGCCCATGGTGACTTGCAAACACCAGGCGATCTAAAGGGATAAAGAGACCCAAGCCATTAGCTTTAGCAGGAGTCTTAGAAAGTGTCCAGAAAAATCCCTCCCTGTCCATTTTACTGATAAGAAAACTGAAGACTAGAAATGTAACAAGCCCAAAGCCACAAAGAAGACTACAAATAAAGCCTGAACCAGAACTCAAGACTCTTGACTTTTTGAACAATTAAACTAAAACTAAAGGATAGTATGGCTCGTTTTCTCTTTCAGCTTTTCCTCTTGGCTACCTAGGGCCTGGACCTGACCATTAGAAATGAGGTATGCTTGGAAGAAATGACCTTGTCACACTGATTCTAATTTTCTCCAGATCTTACATATAAGCATTTCCCTAAAGAGTATCTTCGTGCCTCTTGACAGATCACAGAATGAAGGCCCCTCTCCTGATTGGTATTTGAGAATGACTCACCTTCTGAACTACCCACTGCACAAGGCCCAGATAGTACAGTATGGACATCACACATCCAAAAAAAAGGATGATTGGTAAGGCCTGTGTAGAGAATAATGGAACAGTTGGTAACACACACACATGACATGTGCTCATGTCTACCTCAAGTGGACTCTGTCAAAGCTCCAAATTAAGCTCTCAGGTATCCCAAGAGTATCTGAACAGTGGAGATACTCGGTGGATCTTTAAATGCAAACTAGTCTAGGAACAAATTAAGAATGTATTGGAAATCTATTATTCCATCAGTAGTACTAAGCCTCAAAGAAATCTTATCTGAACCTTCCTAGCCTAGCCCATACTTCATCCTATTTCAAGATGGTAATGATCAAAGGGCAAGAGATTGATGCTGTTTTCTTTACTGATGGAATTAAATCCTTTCATTGTGGTCAGATTGGTTTACAGGATGGATGGACATATTCATCTTCTGCTTTGCCCCCCATTGACCATCATTTCTGTTCATAAAGCAGCAGATACAACCTGAAAAGCAAAGACATCCTTGACCAGTGTTTCCCCAAACACAAAACTGGATCCAGCCACAGTGTAGTTCAGGAAAATCTGAAGGAAAGAGAGAGAATAAGAGTGAATCCAGGAAGGACGCAGAAGAGAATAAGATCAGCATCATTCATGATTATGGCCTTCTACTGCTATTGAGGTTGGCCTCCCTTTCACAGTATGAAGGTAGGCTACTTCCCCATGAACTGCTTACTGAAAAACAGCAGGACTTTGCAGGTCAGTCCTCTTTATTCATATTCTTAGTTATACCCCTCTATACACTCTACTTTCCCACCAAATCTCTGACCATCATTAATAAGACAGTTTGATATCTTAATGCTTCCCTACTAACTGTTTTCTCTAGGGTTCTAAAAGAGAACAATCCTCCCATTCAATCTCTCATACCTGAACCTGGTTTCCCAGCCACTGGAAGGCAATAAATCCAGGATCAGTTCTGATGACCAAGATCCCAAAGACAAATTGAAGACCCAGGCCCCAAAGCACTGTCCTCCAGGGCACCTGGAATCAATAAGAAAATTATTTCAATGATAGTTCTTAACTCTACTTGCCTATTACTTAGTTGTGTTTTTAAATATGGGCATTTCATCATCTACACACATGTACTCTGATTACAGCCCACACAAAATGCTAACGATAAAACTCAGGTAAAATGGCGGAAGGGTAAAGAGCACAGTAAGGGGAATTGTTAAGTGCTGTGTGCCATTGAGTTGATTCTGAGTCATAGTGACTAGACACAGGGTTTCCAAGAGCAGCTGGTGGGTTTGAACTGCCAATGTTGTGTTAGCAGTCCAATGTTTATCCTGCAGTGCCACACCAGGGGCTAGGGCAACAATATGTAATGAACCAAATATGCCCAAATATGTCTAGAGGTTAGATGACATACTATTATGTTGTTAAGTGCCAATGTTCTGACCCATAGCAACCCTGTATAGGGTTTCTGAGGAGTGACTGGTGAGCTTGACCACCAACTTTGTGATTCAAACTGACTTTGCAGTCTAGCACCTTAACCCACACCTGGACTCCAACACAGTATTATACAAACATATTTTATTGTTGTTGCTAAGTGCTGTTGAGTCAGTTTCCGAGGCTATAAATCTTTATGGGAGCAGAAAGTCTCATCTCTGCTGGAGTGGCTGGTGGACTCCAACTGCTGACTTTGTGGTTTGCAGTTCAGTGCTTATCCTACAGAACTACCTGTTCACCTTGTTGTTGTTGTTGTTGTTAAGTGCCGTCGAGCTCACCTACAATTGTATATTTTCCATTGCCATTCTGTTTATTCCACTCATACAAACCTTGTACAGTGTTTCCAGGCTTATGGAGCAGAAAGTGTCATCTTTCTCTTGAGGAACAGCTGGTGGATTTGAACTGCTGACCTTGTAGTTAGCAGCCCAATGCGTCGCTCACTCTGCCAACAGGGATCCTTAATGTTGGCTTGCTGTTGCTGTTGTTGAGTGCTATTGAGTCAATTCCAACTCATAGCGACCCTCTATAGGGTTTCCTAGGAACAGCTGGTGGGTTTGAACTGCGGACCTTGTGGTTTGAAGTCCAATACTGATCCTACAGCGTCACACCAGGAGTGCTGATACTGGCTTAAATCAACAAAATTGGTATCAAGACTCATGATAACTGGTTTAGAATCTCTGAGATCTTTAAAACTTCTAGTGGCAAAAATTTTCAAAGGAGGCAAATACTGTTAAGAATTCAGTTCTCAGAATCTTCAGTGAGTACTATCCAGTCTGTC